GCCGGTTGAGCTATAGGCGCCGAGCCTCATAAAATTTAATATGATTTCTATTCCCCCTCCCATCTTATTAAGTTAATTTCTTTGCAACTTGTAGTACAGTCAAATAAAAGATTCAGCCAAGAATTTACCCATCTTAAATTCCAAATTATACACATTTTTGAAGAAAATCACTTTTTCCCTCTCTCTCAAAACCAGCTTAAAAATACGTCAAATTGCCTCTGGGTAAAGAGTCGTCTCATTCAAGGTTCATGTTTGTGGGGTGGCAGACATCCAAAGATTGACCATTGCCTCAATTCAAGACATCTTGAGGGGCTCTCCCAACTTCAGAGGTTCCTCAAGGGATCACAAGGGATCGGCTGAGACATTTGTTGAGACTTCCATAGAGTTCAACTTCTTGCTATGTCTATTCTGCTTTATTCTTCCACTCTCGCTAGTCCTCATCTAGACAGCACTGCCCAATAAATACACTTCCTGCATGTACATTTCTATCACAGAATCTGCTTCCCAGGAAACCTACACTGCATTGTTACCACTGTATGTTATTTAATGTATATAATATTTTGCGTGGAAAATATTTTTCAATATCCTTGTGCTTGGACATAAAAATTAACTCCTGTAAAAAAATAGGTCAATATACAATGTAAAATTTTCTTTTATTTGCTTTGTTTTCTTAAAGTATGTTAAAAATTATAAGGCATCAAAAAAGCTTGGTAACAGTCTGTTTCCAGAGTGATGATTTTAGCCCTGGTGGCCCATTTGTAAAATTTAGGAGAAATCCCTAATAGAGTATAGTTAAGCTCCCTATACAAAAGATAATAATGAATTATATGGCTGTATATAAATTTTAATGTGTAAGTTTGTATGTCTTACGACACAGTCTTACCTGCAAAATTATAGCAGTATGTTCATCAATTGTCACCACTACATAACATTCTGTACTTCCAAAGAGTTTCAATGACTCACTGTAGCACCTCTCTACTAATGTGATATTATAGCTGTAAAAGACAATATTCTTGGATGAAAAAATGAAATGGCTAAGCAAAATTCTTCAAGAAAAGTTGTATTATTCTCCTGCATATTAAGTTGTTTGGATTCATTCATATGTCAATTTTTTCTATTTATAAATGAGGAATGAAATTATGATTTATTCAGTATACAGAATAAATTAGTTGAGATAGGTATTGCTGTAGATATTGTGTTAAATATTACTGCACATAATGCTATTCCAAATGTGCTGACCAACTTATTCCAGCTCTTTGAGTAACTCATGAGATCAAAGCATTGTGTTAGGAGACTAAAATATTCCGTGTTTATTAGAATTTTCTTTTTTTCCTCTTAAAAATGGCCTTTATTTTAACTACCATTTACAGTATAAGCTCATGGTTTTCTATTAATGACCCATAGCCTTAAGATACAAAAACAAAAGTATAGAACAGAGATCTGCATTTTTTACTATGCTTATAGCACAATTATCCTTCCTTGATATGCAGCCCAAGATCCAATATTCCTGTGACAAGTTGTGTAGTATGATAAAGTGTTTTATGGTTTTTATTTTTATTTTATTTTTAATTTTGAGACACAGTCTCACTTTGTTGCCCTCAGTAGAGTGTTGTGGTGTCACAGCTCAAAGAAACCTCAAACTCTTGGGCTTAATCAATTCTCTTGCCTCAGCCTCTCAAGCATCTGGGACTACAGGTGCCTGCCACAATGCCTGGCTATTTTTAGAGATAAGGTCTCGCTCTGGCTCTGGCTGCTCTCAAACCTGTAAACTCAGGCAATCCCCCTAGCTCATCCTCCCAGAGTGCTGGGATTATAGGTGTGAGCCACTGCACCCGGCCTTGTTTTAAGGTTTTTAAATGCTCAATTTTGGTCTGACCTTAGAACTAAGATCTAAGACCTTGAAAATTCATTTATAAGTTCATGGTCCTTTTTCCCAGCCTGTATTTTAAGACCGTTAATTAAGAATACTCATACTCGGCTCGGCGCTTGTGGCTCAAGCGGCTAAGGCACCAGCCACATACACCTAAGGTGGCGGGTTCGAATCCCCAGCCCGGGCCTGCCAAACAACAATGATGGCTGCAACCAAAAAATAGC